TCCAGCATCAGCAGTTCCTACTATCTCTGACTTTCTTCAAACTTGAGGTGTTTGCAGTATTCCAGCTGTGATCTAACTATAACTTGAATAGTTTTAGCAAAACCTCCTACTTTTATATTCCATTCCTTTTGAAATAAAGGCCAACAGTCCATTTGTTTTCCCTATTAACTGCTGAACCTGGATACTAGCTTATTGTAATTTACTCTTTCTATATCTCTATCAATTTCAGTTACATTCACCTCCTGTATTCTTCCTGCCAAAGCGCATGACCTCACATTTCCCCACATTATATTCCGTCTGTGAAGTTTTTGCGTACTCTATCCCTGTCTATATCCCTCTGCAGGGTTTGTCATCCTCACCATGCTTTCCTATCTGTCATCAGAAACTTTGAAATTCATTCTCTTTCCTTATCTATAACTTTAATATATATTAGAAATAATTGTGGTCCCAGCATTGATCCTGTGGCCCTGTAGTAGTTTCAGGTCACCATCCCAATAATGCCCCTTTTACCCCAAATCTGTCTTCTATTGGCTAGCCAATCCCCTCTCTGTGCCATTACAGTACTTGCAACACTGTAAGCTCATAAGTAGGCTAATCTGTACCTTATCAAATGCCCTTTGAGTCCCCTTTATCTATCCTTTGGTGAGGCAATGGTGCTGATACCACTAGACTATTAATCCAGCAACTCAGTGAATGTTCTGGGGACCAGGGTTCAAATTCTGCCACAGCAGATGGTGGAATTTGAATTAATTTTGAGAAAATCTAAAATTAAGAATCCGACGATCGTGAAACCTTTATCGATTGTCGGGAAAACCCATCTGGTTCACTAATGTCCTTTAGGGAAGGAAACTGCCATCCTTACCTAGACTAGCCTACATGTGACTCCAGACCCATAGCATTGTGGTTGACTCATAACTACCCTCTGGGCAACAAATGTTGGCCTAGACAGTGACACCTAGATCCAGTAAATAAATAAATAAATAAATATCTTGCCTGTTACCACCTCCAAACTGTTTTGTAAAAAATTCAGGCATTATTTCCTTTTCACAAGGCCATGCTGATTCTGTTTGATCATATCATGTATTTCTACATGCTGTGAAGATTTATTTGCTAATTTACGATAAGGTTAAGTTTCAAAAAGTGGTGCACAAAAGGAGATGGTCTGTGTCTCCCTGACCATCTTTGCCCTCTCTCCTCACTCCCCTCCACTGACCCCTGATTGACACAGCTCTCCAGGAACACCACAATATTTTAATATATTGCACATAGAGTAATCAGCACAAGGTGGTGTCTCAGTAACTCTATTCTACCGTCGCATCTGGTAAATGGGAGCATTTGGCCCTCCAAGCCTTTTCCACTTTTCAATACGACTGTATATGATCTATCCCAACTCAACTCCATCTTCACAACTCTCCCCTACCCCTTAATTCCCTTGTATCCAAACACCACATTCTGAGAATGCACAGCTTTCTGGGAACAAAATTCTGAACTTTGTGCCCTTTTCAGTGAAGAAGTTTCTTCTCCTGTCCGTCCCATTTGGTTGAGTTCTCTCTATTCTTCGATTGCCTCCCCGTTTTCTAGGTTTCCTACACAACCACCTTTTGTGGGCAGCAGGAATTTCTCAACCATGTATTGTGTTCTTTCACCCATGCTCAAAATCACCTTAATGATGGGAGCGAGGAGGAGAGGTTTGTGTGTGAACTGGGAGCAGAAGTAGGCCAGTTGGCCCCTCCAGTCTACTGTGCCACTCAGTAAGATCATCGGTGATCTGATTATTCTGCCTACCCCTGAAAACAACATTTCACCCCATCTTTTTAGGGAGGGTATTCTAGGGATTGGGCTCCAGGGCACTGAAAGACACCCAAGATGAATTGAAAGCGATCTGGTCAACACAAATGTCTGAAGTTGGAGGAGGGCAGAGATTTGGATTAACTTGGCCTTGGCCTGTTTAGTGTATCTGTGGTGTTAACCAGTCTTCAAGATTGTTTCCCTCTTTCTGAAGGAAAGACGCTGAGTGTTCGGGTGATGACAGATGAGAGAGGTCGGTCCAAGGGATTTGGCTTTGTTAACTTTGAAAAGCATGAAGATGCTCGCAAGGTGAGAATTTTAAGGAATTCCCCCCAGGTGACATTCAGGAATTGTGCATGACTAAATGTCCTCGTGCTTTGTGATATCCCTTGAACGTTGTAACGAGGCCCCAGTGTAAATCTAGAATGGGCAGGTCTGGCAGCATCAGTGGCGAGAGCAACGTCTAACGTTTCTTCAGATGACTTTCTGCAATTGGATTTCATGTTCCAATAATTTTAGAGCACAGGAGGTCATGCTGGCTCTTTGACCAAGCTATCCAATTGTTCTGTCTCCCTGTTGTTTCATCAGAGGATTGAAAATTTCTCCCTTTTTCTCCCCAAGTATTCCTCCAATATCCTGTTTGACAGTTGCTGTTGAACCTGATTCCAACATGCTTTTGTGCAGCATGATGGAAACTTGTTGGCTTTCTTTTAAATACAAATTCTGTTTAGGTGATCGCTTTTGTACTTGTGCCTTCTGGTCGCTCACCCTCCTGCCAGTGGAGCTGCTCAAATGGACTGAGTTTAGCTGGCCACCACATGGAATTGGTCTAGTATGTGCGATGGGTCTTGTTGAGGTTGAAACTTGGTCCGTGATGATATGGTCACAAGACATGCTTTCTATGTGAGAGAGAGCTGCGTCTAGTCAGTTTCCAAAATACTACCCAGCCCTCCATCTTTTCTCTTGTATTCAGGCAGTGGCTGAAATGAACGGGAAAGAGATCAATAGTCGGGCTGTGTATGTTGGCCGTGCTCAGAAGAAGACGGAGCGACAGAGCGAGCTGAAACATAGGTTTGAGTTAATGAAGCAAGAGAGAAACAGCCGTTATCAGGTCAGTGTTGTCTGAGCTTGTGATTGACCTTCCTGCATTGTATTATTGCTCTTTCTAACAGAATAGAATGACGCAATCTCAGAAGGGAGGCTGTTTGGCCCATCCAGACTGTACTGGCTCTTCTGAGTTGTCCAATTAATCCACATGGTGATCTTTTCCCACGTTTTATCTCTGCAAAGTATTTCCAAAAATCCACTCTTTGACAGTTAATGTCTAATATGCTTGCGCTTCCCTTCCTGGCTTCACAACCAAGGACATAGCAAATTTGTTTTTCATTCAAGAGATGCAGTTGTCACTGGCTAGGCCAGAGTTTATTGCAGATACTGGGCAAGTAGGCAAGAGTCAGCCATTTTGCTGTAGGTCTGGAGTCTCACGTAAGTCAAGATAAGTAAGGATGATAGCTTGCTTCCTTAAAAGATATTAGTGAACCAGATGGGGTTTTTCCAATGATCATTGTTAGACACTTTAATTCCAGATCATCGTCTATGAATTCAAATTCCAGCATCTGCTTTGGTGGGATTTGACCTCTGGTCCCCAGACCATTATGTGGTCTTTGGTTTGAGGTTAGCAATTAATACCACAATGTTATTGCATCTCCTAGTTTTAATAAACTGTTTTACTTTTAAATAAATGCAAAGCCTATGTCCTCTTTTCTTTGCTAATTCACTTAAATCTTTTTTTTCTTTTTGCTATATTACGGACCCTCTTATCACTGGGCAAAATGTATTTTCTCCCTCAAAATCATCGTTTCATTGTAAATAAAACCATTCATAACGGCTTTGATAAGCACTCCCTCCACTACTGACACTCAGTAGCAGCAGTGAGTGTCCACAAGAAGCAGTGCATTAACTCAGCAAGGTTCCTTAGGCAGCACCTTCCAAACCCATATCCTCCTCCACCTAGAAAGACAAGAACAGAAGATGCATGGGAACACACATTCTAGCCTTTTTAGATGTCAAGAACACTTCCATTAGCTGCTTCCATTATTTTCTGTTGATATTTTAATGACTTCTGTACCTGGACTGTGTGAAAACTCTCTGTTTCTAACAAAGAACTGTTTAGAAATATCTCAGGGCCACCATGACTCGCTGTCTATTCTCCTTAAACTGTAGGACCAAAGGATGCATTTGACCCAGTGAGTCTTCTCCAACATTCAATGAGCTAATAGTTAGGTCTGGTTACCTTAAATCATTATCTCCACCTTGACAATACTCCATGTCCCAGCCTCGACAGCATTCTGTGGTAAAAAATTCCACAGATTCACTGCCCTCTGAGACAGGAAATTCCTCCTTATCTGTGTCTTAAATGGGTGACCCCTTACTCTGTGATTATGCCTTCTGGTCCTAGACTCTGCCACAAGGAGCAAATCAACCCCTCCACATCTACCCTGTCAAGTCCCTAAAAATCTTGTATGCTTCAATAAAGTTGCCTCCTATTTTTCTAAACTACAATGAGGACAGGTGCAAACTACTCAGCACCCCCCCATGAAATAAAATCCCTTCACGCTCAACCTAGTGAACCTTCTCTGAACTGCCTCCGATGCCAGTATATGTTTCCTTAGATAAGGTGTACAAAACTGTTCACTGTATTCTAGGTGTAGTCAGTGTGTAATCATAAGGTGGAATTTAGCTTTCAGTTTGGGAGTGAGAAACTTGAGTTGGGAACAACTGTGCTAAACTTAAATAAGGGTAATCACAAAGTAATAAGAGTAGAGTTGGCAGGAGTGGACTGGGAAAGGAGGAGCTTGGCTGAAATATAATGGCTGAGGAACAATGGCAGACATTTAAAAAAATGTCTTAATATCTTAATGCATCCCATCAGGTCCAGGGGATTTACCAGGCCTTACCTCCATTAGTTTCCCTATACTTTTTCTCTCTCGATAATTATATTTATTCCCTCCCAAACCCTCAGCCCCGCTTTTGCCCCTTGAGTAGTTAGTAATTTTGGGATGGTACTAATGCTTTCTACTATGAAGACCGATGCTAAATATTTATTCAATTGCCGTTTCCCAGCTGCCTCATTCATTTCTCCGGCCTCATTCTCCAAGGTCCCTTGCCTTCACCCCAGCTCCTTCCATATGTTCCCCGGTTAACCATGATTGCCTCTTCCCTTCCTCAGTCCCCCTTCCTCACTGGGGTGTATCTTTTGCTATGAGCCATAAACCAGGTTTTTTTTAAATGTCTGCCATTGTTCCTCAGCCATTATATTTCAGCCAAGCTCCTCCTTTCCCAGTCCACTCCTGCCAAGTCTACTCTTATTACTTTGTGATTACCCTTATTTAAGTTTAGCACAGTTGTTCCCAACTCAAGTTTCTCACTCCCAAACTGAAAGCTAAATTCCACCTTATGATTACAGTTTCCTAGGGGGTTTATTGCTCAGAGATTTTTTTGTTTGTTAAACCTGCCTCATTACATATTACCAAGTACAAAATAGCCTGATTGGAGCCACAATGTATTGTTCTAAGAAACTGTCCCAGATATACTCTATATGAATTCTTCTTTGTGGCTACCTCTGCCAACTTGATTTTCCCAGATGAATGGATTGTCTTTTTTTAAACCATATCCACTCGTTTAATGCCTGTCCTAAAATGTAGCTGTTGGTAGGTGACCCATAGACTATATCTTCCCCTAAGTATTTCTTACCTTGACCCATATGGAGTCTATTGTACCTGATCCTAGATCATTTCTTACTATACCACTTCTGTCTTGTACTAACAAAGCTGCCCCACCACCCCTTCCTGCATGTCCTTTGGAAAAGTCACATTCCCCTGAATAATTATTCTCCCAGCTTTAATTTCCGTGGCTACGAGACCATACCCTTAAAGTCTAATTGTGGTGTTGATTCATTTATTTTGTTCTGCATAGTATGTGAATTTTGTATAGAGAGCCATTTAATTTTGTCCTCCTTTGTACCACTTTTCCCCCTTTTTTTGACCCTAACTGCTTTTCTTTTTGCGCTGTGCCTTCCTGTCCCACTCCAGTTACCTAAATAGCTGCAAAGCTGCCGGATCCTTTTGCTTTTGAAGCCTGGATTTCCTCCCACCATAGCCTCCCTTGATCTAGTTTAAAGCCCTCTCCTCAGCCCGAGTTAATCAATGCACCAGGATGCTGGTTCAAATGAAGCCTGTCTCTCTCCAGAATGGTTCCCTTCTAAGCCCAGTTATATCCAGTGAAGGTTTATCCTGTTTGTAACTTCAGACATATTTATGAGTGTACAAATTAGGACCAGCAGTAGGCCATTTAACCCCTCAAACCTGTGCCATTATTCAATATGAGCAGGGCTGGTCTGTTAGTTTTCCAAGTTCCATCTACTCCCAATAATCTTGCAACTTCTGGCCCTCAGGAATCTATTACCTTACTTTTTTAAAAAAAAAAAAAAAAAAAAAATACTCCTGGACCCAACCTCCCCTGCTTTCTGAGGCAGAGGGATGAAAATCCACTTTATCTCTGCCCTAAAAGTGTGACTACTAATTCTAAATTTTAAATCCAATTTTAAATCAATTCCTGCGTTCCTCTATCACACAGAGGTCACACAACACCCGATGAAGGAGCAGTGCTCTGAAAGCATGTGTGATTTCAGATAAACCTGTCGGACTATAACCTGGTCCCATGTGACTTCTGACTTTGTCCACCCCAGTCCAACACCAGCACCTCCACATCATGGCCTCCTGTATCAAAGCTTCAGGAGCGATTCTTACTGTTTTAAAATGGATGCTGAACTGTTAAATGTATCTCTCATCCCAGTTTCTCCAGTCCCTCCATGTTGGCCCCTTTATCACTGGGATCATTCAGGTTAATCTATTTCACACCCTCTCTTAGGCCTTGACCTGCTTCCTGAACTGTACCCAGAAATTCATGTCATGGTTTGGACTAAATCCTAACCAGTTATTTTGTTCAAGTAGGACTTGTTCACTTCTATACTCTGATCTTGTCAATAGGAGGATTTATTTCGCATTCTTTTCCCTAGCCATGCCAGAAAGATTCTGTGAAATCCTGTTGTGAATCCCCCCAGTTCCTGTTAAGGGTACTACCTGCAGGGAACAAAATTATCTTCTGCAAATAATCAAACTGCTATAAATGCTGGAAATCTGAAATGAGGTAGAAAAAGCTGGAATTATTTAGCAAGCCTGGCAGGAATGGTTGATGTTTGAGATGAAAAGTCATTGCTTAATTTGTCCCATTCTAACAGAAGATCATTGATATGAAATGTTTGGGGAAGGAAATCTAACTTCCTTACTTGAGTGGTCTACATGTAATTCCAGACCCACAGCAATGTGGTTGATTCTTAAATGCCTTCTGAATGATCTTCCAGAGGAAGTGGTGGATATGGGTGCAGTTAGTGTTTAAAAGACATTTGGATAAGTACATGATTAGGAAAAGTTTGAGCGACATGGGCCAGAAGCAGGCAGGTGGGACTATTTCAGTTTGAGAACATGATCAACTGGACTGTTTGGACTGAAAGGTCTGTTTCTGTGCTGTATGAGAAAGCTGGCAAGAGAAATAGAAACAAAAAATTGTATCAAAGATTATGAAGTCTGTAAACTAGAAAATAAAACACACAACATGTGGCATTGACCTGTACCCTGGAAACAACAACCCTGTAGACTCTGCAAATTTCCCCTCACCAGCTTTGTGGGGTGAGGTTGTGCTAAACTTGGAAGAGCTGTCCCATAATCTAGTCAAATAACAGCCTGATATGGTCACACCCTCAGAATCATAAGAACACACTTTAAGACTCTTTCAGACAGTCATACCAGAGGGTGGTGGCTCTGTGGTATAACATTAGAGAGGAACAGCCCTGGGAGTCCTCAACATTGACTCCTGACCCATGTAATCCCCTGGCATTGTGTTAAAGATGGTCAAGGACACCCTCAGCTGGTGCATCAGTTCTTGTCCATGTTCAGAGGAAAAGCTGAGTGTGATAAGGGCATAGACTTAATTGTGTTTACCCCGACACCTCCATAATGTCCATTACTGGCTCAGCAGCAGCACCCCTGACTGAGCTGGTTAGATCCTAAAGGGTGTTGCTGCTAGACTGGGTCTGTGGCAGGTGATGAGGGAAAACCATACATGCAGAACAACAAACCAGCTCAGCGAGCCAACCAACCTCAACACCCACAACCCGAGCTACAAATCTACTCCAAAACCTTAATGACCTTGACCTCATCCTTACCGATCCACTTGCTGCAGATATGCCCATCCAGGATTGTATCAGTAAGAGTGACCACCATGCAGTCCCTTGTGGAAACCAAGTCCCACCTTCACATTGAGGACACTCTCCATCATGTTATGTGCTATTAACACTGCTGAAATGGGATAGAGTTTGAATAGATCTAGAAATTCAAACTTGTGCATTGAGGCACAGAAGAATCGCATTCCAACGCAATCTGTCAACTTGTGGCCCAGCATATCCCTACTGTACCTTTACCATCAACCCTGGCTTAATGGAGAGTGCAGGAAGGCATGTAGGAGTGGCACCAGGAATACCTGAAAATGTGCTGGTAGCCTGGGGAAGCTGCGTAAGTTATTTGCATGCTGAGCAGCAAGTGATCGAAGAGCTAGGCGATACCAAGAAACAGGTTAAAGCTAAGCTCCGTAGTCCTGAATGATGGACAATTGCACCAAAAACTGAAGGGGGTGGCTATACACACATTCCAATGTCAAAGCTGAGAGCCCAGCACATCAGTGCAAAAGACAAAGCTGAAGAAGCATATTCATCAACCTTCAGCCAGAAGTGCCAAGTGAATGATGCATCGTAGCATCCTGCAGAGGTCCCCAGCATCATATGCCAGTCATCATCCAATTTTATTTACTCCACATAATATCAAGAAATGACTGATGACAGTGGCTATGTGAAGGCAAGGTGGCGGGGAGGGCAGGAGGGGGTCATTATGGCAGTGTTACTGAAGACATGTGCTCCAGAACTAGCTGCGCCCCAGCCAAGCACTAGCAAAGGAACAACATGTTCAGCGATACTCAGTTTGGATTCCACCTTGGTCATGGGGTTTCCTGACCTTATTACAGCCTTGGTTCAAACATGGGCAAAAGAGCTGAATTCCAGAGGTGAGGTGAGAGTGACAGCCCTTGACATCAAGGCTGCATTTGACCGAGTGTGGCATCAAGGACCTGTAGCAAAACTGGAATCAATGGGTATCAGGGGGAAATCTCTACTGATTGAAGTCATACATGGCACATAGGAAGAAGGTTTTGGTTGTTGGAGGTCAGTCACCTCGGTTCCAGGACATCTCTATAGGAGTTCCTCAGGGTATATATTTTCTAATCACGCTGTTCGGTGATGGTATTACAAAACTCTCTGGTACAGGTGGGACTTGAACCCAGGACTTTGGCTGAGAGGTAAGGACATTACAGCTGCACCAGAAGGGCCCCCAGTGCCTCAGGGTAGTATCCTTGGCCCAACCTTCTTCAGCTGCTTTATCAGTGATCTTCCTCCATCATTAGGCCAAAAGTGGAGTTATTTACTGATGCCTACACAATATTCAACATCATTTGAGGCTCCTCAGGTACTGAAATGGTCCATATCCAAATCAATAAGACCTGGCCAAGTAATATTCACGTTACACGAATGCCATTAATGACTATCTTCAAGAAGAGAGAATCTAACCACTCCCCCTTGACATTCAATGTCATTACTATCACTGAATTCCCCACTATCAACATCCTGGGGGCTACCATTGACCAGAAACTTATAGGACTTGCCACATAAACACAGTGGCTACAAGAGCAGCTCAGAGGCTAGGAATCCTGTAGGAGTAACCCTGCTCCTGATTCCCCAAAGCCTGTCCATCATCTTACAAGGCACAAGTCAGGACTGATGGAATACTCCCCACTTGCCTGGATGGGGGCAGCTCCAACAACACTCAGGAAGCTTGACACCATCCAGGACAAAGCAACCTTCTTGATTGGCACCACATCTACCCATTTTTAACATTTGCCCCCTCTGTCTCCAATGGAATATGGTGGTAGTGTGCAATATTTACAAGATGAGCTTTAATAACTCACCAAGCCTCCTCTGACAGCACCTTCCAACACAACCTTTAAGGACTATCTCAAAGTCTCTCAATTCTTATGGTTTAGAAGGCAGTCATTCAGCCAACAGTCTGCAGCTTTTTGACTTGATGCTGATCTCCTGGTCCTTTCCCCATAACCCTGCATGTTATTTGTATTTAAATAGTCATCCAGTGCCCCTCTTGACAGCTTCAACTAGAACTGCCACCACCATTAACCCCCCCAACCTCGCTACACCACCTCCCAGCAGTGCACTGCATACCCTAACTACTTACTGACTGTGTGAACATGCTGTTTTTTTTTTTTGGGCCAATTGTGTTTACTACTTTTTCAAGCACTTTAAAACTATGTTCCCTGGTTTTCAATCAGGAACAGTTTCTCCTTATCTGCTCTATCCAGACCCCTCATAGTTTTGGAAACTTCAATCAAATCTCCCATTTACCTTCTACTCTCCAAGGAGAGCAGTCCCAACTTCTTCAATCTATCTTCATCACTGAAGTTTCTCATCTAAATTATTCTCTCAAACCTCTCCTACACTTTCTCCACTGCATTCACATCCTTCCTAAAGTGTGGCACCAGGACTCGACACACTACTCCAGCTGCGGCCTAATCAATATCTTGTATAACATCTTTGTAACCTCCTATATCCCTATGAATAAAGCCTTGATGCAACGTGTACAATAGGGCAGCACATGCGTGGGAACACCACCTCAAGCTCTGTTCCAAGGCAATCACTATCCTTACTTGGAAATGTATCACTGTTCCTCTAGTTATTACTGTGTCAAAATCCTGGCACTGACTCCCTAACAGCATTGTGGGTAGCAAAAACTGCTACAGTTCAAGAAGGCAGCTCATCACCACCTTCTCAAGGGCCACTAGGGACAGGCAATAAATGCTGGCCCAGCCAGAGACACCACATCCCATGAAAAAATAAATTTACAAAAAAGCACACATGGTTGACATCTTAACTGGTCTCTGAAATGGCCCAGCATTCAGTTGACCACTCAGTGGAAGGGCGTGAGCAACAAATCCTGCCCACATCCCACAGAAAAATGAGGAAATGTTGGCAAAGCTAAGGTAACTCCTTGGGAGGGATTGGATGGAGAAAATGCAGTCAGTTTGATCCGAATTCAATCCTACTTTGCTGCTGCATACATCCCACTGCCTTGGTCCTAAAAGTTCAACTTGCTCTTGTCTTTCAGGGAGTGAACTTGTATGTGAAGAATCTGGATGATGGGATTGATGACGAGTGTTTGAGGAAGGAATTCTCTCCATATGGAACAATCACCAGTGCAAAGGTATGGGTCTGAAATTTCCCACGATGTTCCCAGTTGATGTTATTACAGGACAAGGCAGATCCCAGACTCACCTGGCTTGATATCGACTTTTGGCTCTAGTAAGAGTTTTGGGGCGGCACAGTGGCTGAGTGATTAGCACTGCTGCCTCACAGTGCCAGGGACCCGGGTTCAATTCCACCCTCCGGTGACTCTCTGTGTGGAGTTTGCACGTTCTCCCCGTGTCTGCGTGGGTTTCCTCCGGGTGCTCCGGTTTCCTCCCACAGTCCAAAGATGTGCAGGTTAGGTGGATTGGCCATGCTAAATTCCCATAGTGTTCAGGGATGTGCAGATTAGGTGGGTTATAGAGGAATGGGTCTGGGAGGATGCTCTGATGGTCGGTGTGGACTTGTTGGGCCAAAGGGCCTGTTTCCACACTGTAGGGATTCTATGATTCTAAGGTGGTCCCTCATTGAAACATAAGCATACAATATTGCAGTTTTTTTAAACAGTAAAACAAGTGTGTCAAGTTTTTAAAAAAAAAATTAAGATAAAAAGGAATAAACCAGTCTATCACTTTACAATCCAAGTTTAAAGCTTTTGAAACATGTGATAAAATATAATCTCATTAATCTTTCACAGCACTTTGTTACAGATCCCAAATCAACCCTGTGTGGTAGCCAAAAGCATCCTACCATGGTGCTCACACCAGGAAACCCCTTTCTCTAACACCTTAATGGATTCACTTGATTTTAACTTCCAGTCTGGAAACTCTGATAACTTCAGGAAGAAGCTATCACACTCCTGAGCTTAAATGTTCTCTGCTTCAAATCACCTTGACAAGGTGTGATCAAATATTTCTGCTCTGTGTCTATCACTAACTCCTTATTCTAAAGTAATCGAGTGTTAACAAGTCTAACTATTTTGTCCCTTTTCAGGTGTAAATTTACACGCAACATCTGCAGAACTGCCCAAAACTGAAAGCAAAATGAAAAAGTTCTTCCTCTCTTCCTCTCCCCCTCTAAGCTATGCATGTTTCCCCCTAAGCTCTTTTCTATATTGTTTTTAAAAACGTCCAAATATTTCTAGTCAAACTTTTGAAGCACAATTGTTTGAGACAAAAATAAAAATCGCTGGAAAAGCTCAGCAGGTCAGTGGAGAGAAATCAGTTAATGTTTCAGGTCCAGTCACCCTTCCTCAGAACGTAATTGTTTACCTTGCTAAATCATAAACATTCCCAAGTTAAATAAAAACTTACTAGTTCTTAAAGGGAAAACAGTTTGAGGGGTTTAAAGAAACTCCCCATGGCTGCAGAAATGTTCTCAATTTAATTATTAATTCCTTCAGCCATGCAGAAAAACCCATATGTCCTTACTTCAAAACATCACACAGCTGACTTTAGTACCAAAGATAACCACCCAGTTGGAGGTTTGGTCACAACTGGGGAAGGAGCTGGGCTGATTCTTAACTTGAAGCCACTTAGAGGATTGACAAAGTTAAATTGTGTGTAATCTTAGATTTTGTGATGAGATACTCTTGAAAAGAGTGACCTTGTTTTCATTGAAAGGAATAGTTGTATAGTAACTTTGATGGATAAGCAGCCCAGAGATTTGTGTGTTTAGATCCTACATTGAGAAGTTGAACAATTGAATCTGGTGTTTCAAAGCTGGCTTGAAAATCTGCCAGAGCTGTGATTTGAAACACAGAAGGGTTACCGTGCTGAATGGGGGCCACTTGGCCTGTTATCTGCACCAGCTGCCCAAATAAGCATCATGAAAGTGTCTTTCCCTGCCTTTTCCTCAAGTCCTTGCACATTAGTTCCTGTTAAATAACCAGTCAGTACTTTCTACCTGACTCTAACTTTTCTGATTAATTTACTATTTTCTACGCTAGTGCTACCTGTGTCTGAGTATTTTGTGAACCCTGATATTGGGGAGTGTGTTTAAGTTGCTGTAAATTAGAAAAGCTTCTTTAATACTCTCTCTTGGTTCCAGCACTCCTGCCAAGTTAGTTAAAAGCCCTCCAACAGCATCAGCAAAATGCTCTGCGAGGTCTCCTCTCCCCCAGTGCTGGTCTTAAGACTGTAAAGTCCCCTTTTCTGCACCAGCTTTCCAGTCCCACACTCCCCTGCCTTAGCCTGCTGTTTCTGTATACTTCTGTGTGGCACTAGGAATAATCTAGAGATTGCTAGATTTTAAGGTCCCTGCTTGTTAGCTCCCTAAATGCTGATTACAGAACTATGTTCCCCTTCCTCAATAGAAGATGTTGATGTAGACCAAAACCTCCATTTGTGCACCCCTCCCCCACCCACCCACCCACCAAAGTTGACCCTGGGGTCCAATGAGGCAATTTGCCATCCTTGATTCAAATCCCCTGTCTAACAAATCCCCTATTGCTGTTTGTCCTCCTCTTGTGTAGGCAAACTGTCTGCACTCCCCTTAACACCAGCACCCGCATTATCTTCCAAAATGGAAAAGTGATTTTTGTGAGCATGAGCTTGTCACTCCTGTCTTACCTTCCTGTTGCTCTTTGGCTAGTTGTATCCCATTCCCTTTTTCAAGATGCCCATCTCTTTGAAAATGTTATTTATAATACATTCAGCCTCATGGATATGCCACACAGACTCTAGTCACTACTTGAGCTCTGAGACACAGGGCTTGTGTGTTTATTTTATTCATTCACGGGATGAGGGTATCACTGGCTAGGCCTGCATTTAGTGCCCATCCCTAATTGCTGTTAAGTATTAACCACATTGCTGTGGGCCTGGAGTCACAGGTAGGCCAGACCAGGTGAGGATGGTAGACTCCTTCCCTAAAGGACATCAGTGAACCAGATGGTTTTGTTTTCCTGACAATTGACAATGGATTCATGGTGGTCATCAGACTCTTAATTCTAGATATTTATTGGATTCAAATTCAACCACATTTCATAGCAGGATTTGACCCGGGTCTCCAGAATGTTATCTGGGTCTCTGGATTAACAGTGCAGCAATTATACTACTAGGCCATTGCCTACCCTTCTGTTTCTGCAGCTGGCAATTTTTCTTGTAGATGTTGACATTTAGGGCACCAATAAGAATCTGTCCTGCCCTATGTTTCACTTGACTGAACTGTGCTGCTGTGTCTTAACTTTATTTCCCTTGCATTAGCTTTTTATTTTGTTTTTGATTCCTTATATTGTGTAATTGTATTGGCCCAGGCTTTGCTTTATTCCTGATGTTTTTCCATTTAATTCAACTAGAGTTACTACTATTAAAAATTATAGTTTTCTAATTTAGTACAATTTAAAGACAGTCGCAAATAGGAATTTCTTATTAAACAATTAATTTATTGAGAGCAGACGAAAGAAGCCCTCTTCCCTGCATTTTACCAAACTTGACAAGTTTTACTTCCTGCACCAACCCTTACTTAAAGCACCTCTTCCACCTCTGCATCAGATTCCAAGTTTTAACCAATTTCCCAGATATAGTCAATGAAAACTGAAAGAACTGCAGGTGCTGGAAATCAGAAACAAAAAACAGAAATTGCTGGAAAGGCTCAGCAGGTCTGGCAGCATCAGTGGAGAGAAATGAGTTAACGTTTCAGGTTCAGTGATCCTTTCTCCAAAACTGTTCTACACACACCGCTCGCCCTCACGTACTGTGTACTTTTTTTAAAAAAAAAAAAAAAAAAAAAACCCTTTCTTATAGAAATGGTGGTGAATCACTTTCTGGTTTAATATCCTGTTATAGGAATCAACTCTTCATTCAGACAAGGGATTTTGGCTAATTGCAGATATCTGGCATTGTCAGACAGACAATGAGGTTGACCAATTAAATTGCCACTTTGAGTGAAACTCTCGGATATATTTGCTCAGCTTTTTTCTCATCCAGGTGAAATCTCCCTCACTGGCTGTGTCTGCACACACTGAGCTGTAGGGCAGTTTGTGGTATCTAATAAATGCTGCCTTATCCCTGTTGATGCCGATATCCAGGGATTGTGGAGCAGATCTTGCTGGAATGGGGCATGTCGCTATGTGCAGTTGTAGGGGGGAGCTAATTTGACGGAGGTGGGATGGGGTGCACTTTGTGGGAGTTGGTTGCTGGTGATCTGAGCTCTTAGTAAATGGTGAGACCAACACACACCCTTTTAGCCAATGAGGTTTAAAAATTGAGAACAAAAGTAGGAAAGGATATCTGGTGAATTAAATCAGGGACAAAGCGAAAGACAGACAAAATAAACGTAGAAAAAATCTTTTAAATATAAATTTTTTAGATGTTGCCAAACAACTTGCAACATGAAGCATGAAACTCTGATTTAAGTTGTAACAAAGGAGATAGGAGAGGTTCGTTTGGTTTTTCATTAACCATTAAAAGGGTCCTTACTCTATTAATTGCTAGACTTGCCTTTTGACAGTGTTTTAATAGGGAATTATTATGCAAATCCAGCAAGTTCTTTAATATTAGTAAGGAGATAGCTGTTTGTGCAACAGAAGCAGTGAAGAGTTGGAAGAATCCAGCACATTCTGAGACTTTGCAATTAACAATGTATCTTGAAGGATCCCTGAGCCTCCTAGACTGGGTGTGTTCGAGTAAGGGTGTGTGTCACCAACTTGCTTGTGATCAATGTGGAGCAGTTCCTGTCTCTGAATTTTCTGTGATGTCTGACTCATCTTGTCTTTGATTTTTGAGGTGATGACTGAGGGAGGCCACAGCAAAGGCTTTGGGTTTGTCTGTTTCTCTTCACCCGAAGAAGCAACAAAAGCCGTCACAGAGATGAATGGGCGGATTGTCAGCACCAAGCCCCTGTACGTAGCCTTGGCTCAGCGCAAGGAGGAACGCAAAGCACATTTGACCAACCAGTACATGCAGCGACTGGCGAACATGCGAGCTATACCCAACCCCTTGCTCAGCTCGTTTCAACACCTGGCACACTCTGGGTACTTTATGCCAACTGTGCCGCAGGTAAAGGAACCAAGGACATGATGCTAGCCTATGCCAACAATCTTTTGAAAGAATGCAAATACTGAGTTTTGTGCTGCAGTCTTTGTGGAAACTGGTCTAAGGATTAGAGATTGAGAGTTCAAATCCCACTGAGTTTTTAAATTCAGTTGGGGAATAAAATATTGTCAGGAATAAGCAATCACCATGTAACTGTTGGGATTATTGTAAAACACTAAGACATCTGGGTTTATAAGCAACTCCAGTCCCACACCAATATCTCTGACTCTTGCAACGAGTGGCTACTTTAAAGGGGAGGTATTGAACTGACTCAGATTAAAGGAGAAGGCAGCTTGTAGCCATCTATCAGGATAACTTGGGAAGGAGAATGAGTGCAGAGATTGCCATTGACTCTCAGGATGTGGGAATCCAATTTAAAAGAAATGACTGCTTCTCACGCCCTGGCCTCCAGCAGCTTACTGCAGAATTGTGCATGTTTTAACAACGGTCGGTGACGCAAGGTTTAAAATATGTTTCAGTATTGAACTGTCTTTGTCCGACAGCCCCACCATGATTCTAATGCAGGCAGGTTTCTCAGCTTCACCTCAGTGGTTCCTGCCAAGCTGTGATAGATGGGACAGAAGCCTTACAGGAATAGGCGTGGAAATTTCAAGATCATTTTTATTGCTCCTGACCTTGAGTAAATGGTGCATGGGCTTTCTGTTTGCACTCGAATATCTTCAATTCCTACAGCCCTGAAACAGCCTGACTGAAATGGTATTGTCAGTGGCCTTGACTTTCTCAGTTCTGTTTTGGCCTTTAGTCTAGCTGGTTTTCCAATGTCTCCCTTCTTACCTAAAGGAATAAACCTGCCCTCATTTGGCTTCTCACCCTCCCTCCACTTGCCTCTCTTTCCAGCCTTGCAAATCACTGGAATATCTCTATTTTTAAAAAATACACACTCATCTCCTCTTCGACTACCTTCACCCCTTCGGGTCATTATTGACGAGGTTGGGGTCGTGTTTTGTGTTGCCTGATGATACCCAGCCTCCCCTCCCCTGCTGCTACTGCTAGATTGTCTGTCTGGCATCCAATTCTGGATGAGCTATCCCCTCTGCTACCCCACCTCAGTTAATTATTTAGAAGACTGCAGCCATCAGCTTGATCTTCCATCACCAGCTCCACACCTTGCGTTGGTCACTAAGTCTGACAGAACCAGATTATTCACAAAAACTTTGAGGTTTGACCCTGGGCTAAGTTTGATATTCTGCAGAGTTCTGACTCCCACCTTCAACACGTCACCTGTTTCCAACCACTTTCCTGGCTTGTTGCTGCTGAAACCCAGTTGTCTCTGAAATGAAGTTGCCTTTCATTGGCCAGTCTTCTTTCTCCACCCCCTGAATTCTACTCCTCCGAAATTCAACCTGACCCAATTTCCATTCGCCAATGGCTACTGGCATCCCTGTTCCTCTTATCTCTGAAACTCCAGTCTGGGGCAGCACGGTGGCTCAGCGGTTAGCACTGCTGCCTCACGGCACCAGGGACCCGGGTTTAATTCCAGCTTCAGGTGACTGTGTGGAGTTTGTACATTCTCCCTGTGTCTGCGTGGGTTTCCTCCGGGTGCTGTGATTACCTCCCACGTTCCACAAAGATGTGCAGGTTAGGTAGAGTGGCCGTGCTAAATTGTCCATAGTGTCCAGGGATATGCAGGCTCGGTGGGTTAGCCAGTGGGAAATGTAGTCCTACAAGGATAGGCTGGGATGCTTTGGAGGGTCAGTGTCGATTTGATGGGCCAAATGGCCCACTTCCACACTGTAAGAATTGTGTGGTTCTGTGATGACTCAGTCCCTTCATAGCCTCCGCGCTCACTCTCGCTTCTCCAATCCTATAACAGTACAAATACTGTGCCACTAACTTTATCCTATTAAATTGCCATCCTAAAGGTTTCTGTCATTCCTCAAACTTGAGAGAATAAAGTCAATCAGCAAGAAAATCTCAGTAATATCTGGAAATGAATGTACTAACCGTATAGTTTGACCCAAGACAGGTCAGGCCAGTGTGTCATTGACAGGTTTGATTATCTGATCCCATCAGCCTCCCTGCCATTGTACAAGATGAGCTGTTCATGTTGTCCCTTCTTGGGCAGTGAGTCTAACTGATTATTGCACAGAATTCTCAGCTCTTATAATTCAATTTTATGGTCTGTGTAAAGTGAAGACTGATTCAACACTCCAGTGTGTTTTGTGATGTCTTTTACTGTAACTGAGTGTGTGTTTTCTGGGTACTTGGAGAGTTGGGTTCTGATTGTTCAGTATTCTGGTCTTTGCAGGTTCAAAATCGAACTCCATATTATGCCTCATCTCCAGTGACCCCAATGCGACCTTCTCAACGTTGGGCAGGCCAGCCGATTAGACCTCCGAGTAAGTGAAGGTGTCATCATTTCCCAGGAAGGTGGATCCTGCTGGTCAACCCTTACTCCCTTCTGCAACGTTAAAAAGTTACAGCAAGGAGAAACAAAATGGATCAACCCAAAATAAAAATGTTATGGCTACTTTCTCAGGAGCTTGTTCAAAAGGGTATGAGTCACAAGGAGAAGCTGAACAGGCTGGGACCCTTCACTGGAGTGCAGGAGGTTGAGGGGTGACCTTATAGAGGTTTATAAAATCATGAGGGATAAAGATAAGGTGAATGGCAGGTGTCTTTTCTCTGGGGTGGGTGATTTCAAGATTAGGGGACATATTTTTAAGGTGAGAGGAGAAAGATTTAAAAAGGATGTGAGGGGCAAGCTTTTCTTTAACAGTTGTTTGTATGTGGAATAAACTTCCTGAGGATGTGCTGGATGTGGATACAGTTACAACATTTAAAAGACATTTGGATAAGTACAGAGATAGTAGGAACTGCAGATGCTGGAGAATCTGAGATAACAAGGTGTAGAGCTGGATGAGCACAGCAGGCCAAGCAGCATCAGAAGAGCAAGAAGGCTGACGTTTCGGATTTCTGAAGAAGGGTCTAGGCCCGAAACGTCAGCCTTCCTGCTCCTATGATGCTGCTTGGCCTGCTGTGTTCATCCAGCTCTACACCTTGTTATCTCGGATAAGTACATGAATAGGAAAGGTTTGGAGGGATATGGGCCAGGAGCAGGCAGGTGGGACTAATTTAGTTTGTGAACATGGTCAGCGTAGACCGAAGGGTCTGTTTCCATGCTGTATGACTCTGACTTGGCTTTGGCTTTGTCCAGCCGTTGAGTTGAATAGGATGACCAATAGAGGGCGATCTTCACCACAAAACTTGACAGCATGTTTTGTCCTGAGAAAGTAGGAACTGCAGATGCTGGAGAATCTGAGACGACAATGTGTAGAGCTGGATGAACACAGCAGGCCAAACAGCATCAAAGGAGCAGGAAGGCTGACGTTTCGGGTCTAGACCCTTCTTCAGAAATGGGGGAGGGGAAGGGGATTTTGGAATAAATAGGGAGAAAGGGGGAGGCGGATAGAAGATGGATAAAGGAGAAGATAGGTGGAGAGGAGACAGACCGGTCAAGGAGACAGGGGTGGAGCCAGTAAAGGTGAGTGTAGGTGGGGAGGTAGGGAGGAGATAGGTCAGTCCAGGGAGGAAGGACAGGTCAAGGGGGCGGGATGAGGTTAGTAGGTAAGAGATGGGGGTGGGGCTTGAGGTGGGAGGAATGGTTAGGGAGGTGGGGACGAGCTGGGCTGGTTTTGGGATGCGGTAGGGGGAGGGGAGATTTTGAAGCTTGTGAAATCCACATTGATACCATTGGGCCGCAGGGTTCCCAAGTGGAATATGAGTTGCTGTTCCTGCAACCTTCGGGTGGCATCGTTGTGGCACTGGAGAACGCCCAGGATGGACATGTCGTCTGAGGAATGGGAGGGGGAGTTGAAATGGTTTGCGACTGGGAGGTGCAGTTGTTTAGTGCGAACCGAGCGTAAGTGTTCTGCAGAACAGTCCCCTAGCCTCTGCTTGGTCTCACCGATGTAGAGGAGGCCACAATGGGAACAGCGGATACAGTATACCACATTAGCAGATGTGCAGGTGAACATCTGTTTGATGTGGAAGGTTTTCTTGGGGCCTGGGATGGGGGTGAGGGGGGAGGTGTAGGGGCAGATGTATCACTTCCTGCGGTTGCAGGGAAATGTGCCGGGTGTGGTGGGGCTGGAGGGGTGTGTGGAGCAGACAAGGGAGTCACGGAGAGAGTGGTCCCTCTGGAAAGCAGATAAGGGTGGGGAGGGAAAAGTGTCCTTGGTGGTGGGGTCGGATTGCAGATGGCGGAAGTGTCGGAGGATGATGCGTTGGATCCAGAGGTTGGTGGGGTGGTACGTGAGGACGAGGGGGATTCTGTTTTTGTTGTTGTTGTTGAGGGGAGGGGGTGTGAGGGATGAGTTGTGGGAAATGAGAGAGAGACACAGTCAAGGGCATTTTCGACCACTGTGGTGAGGAAGTTGCAGTCCTTGAAAAACGAGGATATTTGGGATGTCCGGGAGAGGAATGCCTCATCTTGGGAGCAGATGCGGCGGAGGTGAAGGAATTGGGAATAGGGGATGGCATTTTTTGCAGGAAGGTGGGTGAGAGGAGGTGTACTCTAGGTAACTGTGGTAGTCGGTAGGCTTGAAATGGATATCGGTTTCCAGGTGGTCCCAGTCTGTGTGTGTGTGTGTGTCGCTCTCGCTCGTTCTCACACACCTGGGCTTTTTTTTTGCCTTTCTTCAACCTCTGGATATAAGAATTGATGTTTTTGGGTGTACTTTGAATTTTGTTTTTGTTTCTGTCATTGAAGGCCATCCATTTTCCTCACAGTTTACATCCAGAGATTGTGCTGTTTCTTGCTCCCTGGATGTTGGTGTCACTGGCTAAAGGTCATTATGTTCTGCCTGACTCTAATGCCTTTTCAATAGATGATCAATTTCAATCCTGTACCTGTTGGGTGCTAAGGACACCAACTTGTCTGTGAGCAGATTGCTACCCAATTTGTAACCCACTGCTGGCCAGATACACTGGGGTGAGAGGGTGAGGTCAAAGCCATCACTAATCCTTTCTACCAAACACATGTACCCACAGTGAATGGCCATCCCTTGCTCAGATCCTACCTTCTGGTCTCCAAGTGTAAGGTTCACCCTGTTACCTTTGAACTCCGAGAGGCTGAAATGTTACCACGGAGATTACTGGGCTCGACTTACTTGGCTGTTTTGTAATTATTATAACAAAATAAATAATTTTACAACTAAATTGCAGTGATGCACTATTCCAATTTAGCCCCACTCCTCTGCAACAAGAGTTGCCCCTTGAGAAGGTGGGGGTGAGCTGTCTTCTGGAACTGCTGCGGTCCCTGTGCTGTAGATAGACCCAAATTTAGGGAGGGAATTCCAGGATTTTTGACCCAATGACAGCGATTATTTCCAAGTCAAGATGGTGAGTGACTTGGAGGGGAACTTTGCAGGGGGTGGTGTTCCCATGTATCTGCTCTTGTCCATCTCTAGGTGGTGAAGACCATAGGTTTGGAAGGTGCTATCAAAGGTTGGTAGCTTTGATAGGTCAACAACTCCTTTATTATCTTCTAACTCCAAGTTAGATGCTTGTGAAGATTAAGGGGTAAGGTGTTGAACTGGTTCACAGTGTCATTCAGAAGGAATTCTGTCTGAGTTTCCCTTCCTGTGCGCAGGAAGCAATGGGAAGCAATCTGAATTGGAGGATGGAACCTGGTTCGTGAGGAATTTTCCTCCATCCCCTTTGTCTTCTGGGGTCGTGGGTAGGGGTAGCTGGTGGGTTTGGTAATGTCATGACTAACTGAATCAATATTAAGTGCATTTTGGATTTTGTTTTTTTGCTTTGGTTTTCTTGGATGCTAAAATTTGCTTGGTTCTGTTTGTGATTCTAAACTCAGCCGAGATGGTGTGGATTTTGTTTTGTTTTTGTTTTCAGCCCCTTACCAGAGCATGCTGCCCTCGGTCAGAGGGACTGCACCTCGACGAGTGGCCACAGCTATCAGTACTGTCCGACAAGCATCTACCCAGGTTCCCCAGCTCCCATCCAACACGCAGAGAGTGGGTGAGTAACTCGGTTACTACAGACAGACAAACCTCCATGGGGGGGAGCGTGAGCACCTCCTGATTTGGCTGCACCATCAGAACGTGCTACAAACCTGGCTCTTTAGCACCATCACCTTCAGCACTCCCTGACTGGCGGCCATGACTTCAGTGACTGATGCTCTAGCTCTGGAATTTCCTCCCCAACCTTCCCCCTGCTTTTATTTTTAAGGAAGTTCTTGAAACTTTGAGCAAGATTTTGAGCATCTGTTCTAATAACTCCATATGTAGCTCAGTGTCACTCTTTGATAATGAAGCGCCTTAAGCCATTCTGCCAGTTCCAGGCGCTATACAAATGCAAGGTGGCACTTGTATTCAGACCGTCGTGCATCCTTTCAGAGACAATATTCAATGACAGACATTTTCCTGTTTGTGAGCCAAATGAAGTCTTAAAATTGAGATTCTTGCGACAAATACTCACTTAGAATTGAAAACCTGAAGCGATTTGGCCTATGTTATTTCAGATCCACATTTGTTTTGTTTTAACTGCCCTCTGAAATATATGTCTAGTTTTTAAACAAACACATTTATTCATGTTGTTTTGAACTGATGGCTATATTTCAGAGGGCAGTTAAGACTGTGTTAATGTGGGACTGAAGTCACATAGGCCAGACCAGGCCAGGTAAGAACAGTAAGTTTCCGTCTCTAAAAGGACATTGGTGAACCAGTTGGTGTTTATTTCTCACTTATTTATTTTCCAGTAGCTGAAACCATCATCTCAAATAGTCATGTAGTTGAGATCTTGTTCTCTGATTGTTAACCGAGGCCCTAAGGAGCACACTGATGGGCCAAAGGCCTACTGCTGCTCCTGCATTTTGTGGCCTCTCGCTTACCCATCCTTTTAACCTGACCCCTACACTATCCGTCTGTGTTATCTTTTTATTCCTGGTTTAGTGAAATTGGATTAATGTTGGAGCCCATTGTAGTGCAAACTGATCTTTTATGATTGAATGACATTAACAATCTGTGTGTTTTTTAAACCCTTTTATTATCCTTTGCTCACACCTTCCAGCCACTATAGGGACTCAGACAGCTGGACCACGTACTGTCCTTTCTGGGCCCATGGTGAGGGTACTGCCCCAGTACAAATACACATCTGGAGTCTGTAACACCCAGCACTCTCCCAGTGCACAGCAGGTACTGACCAGAGATATTCTGTGAAATATTGAGTAACAATGGCAATAATCTGAAAATCACATTGGAACATGTTCCACAAATTTTTTGTTTGAATGTTTCTCGTGAGACTTTGAAGCAAAAGTTGGCCATTCAGTGAGATCATGGCTGATTTTGCTGCTCCTCAACTCCACTTTCCTGTCTTTTACCCATAACCCTTGATTCCCCTAAGCGATTAAAAATCTGTCTCAGTCTTAAATATATTCAATGACCCAGCCTCAACAGCCCTCAGTGGTAAATAATTCCACAGGCTCACTGCCCTCTTGAGAAGAAATTCCTCCTCATCTGTTTGAAATGTGCAACCCCTTTTATTCTGAGATTGCCCTTGAGGGAGAGTCTCAGACCAGAGGCAAACAACTTTTCTATATCAACCCTGTCAGCCCGCTAAAAATCTACATTTCAAAAATATTGCCTTTTATTCTCCAATGCATGATCCATTGTGATCTTTTGGTTGACAAGGAAAGTCAGCAAAGGCGTTTATTCCAACAATGGAGGCTACAGGACGTCAAAACCGCAGTGAAATTGTTTCATTCCTTTATCATGATTAATGCAATTGTGACTCGTGAGCTTTGTCTCCTCACTGAGAAATTTTGCTAAACACCTTTGAGCATTGCCTGCCTCAGTTTTCATAGTATCGCTGCTAAAAGATTTTACATGGCTTTGGTAGGATTGGCTGCAGGAATAATGGGGGCATAGTATGTTTTGGGGGGTAGAGATGAAGTGTTCGAACATTAATTGACCACCAAGCAGTGAAACTAGGAAGGATATCGTCTCACAGCAGCAGGAATCTGGAATATTCTCACTTGGAAAGCTATAGATCCTGGGCAATAATTGCAGTTTAAGACTGAGATGGGTTAACTTTTGAAGGGGGTATGAAGCAAAGGCAGGAATGTGAATCTATATCACTGTGATCTAATCAAAGTGAATAGAATTACCACTTGCTGCTCTGTTTTATTGTGATATGTTAATTTTTGGTTTTGTGCTTGGTTTGACCTTGCTCTGCACAGTATTTGGATTTGCTCATAGTTTTTGTTTTTGCGGTGATATTATAGGTGTCTGAGCCAGCCGTTCACGTTCATGGTCAGATGCCTCTCAGTGCCTCAGTGTTGGCTGCTGCATTGCCACAGGAACAGAAACAGATGCTGGGTATGTGTTTGAGAGTAACTCACCCTCAATTCCGACAACGAATCAACAGCTGCATTTTTAACCCACCTGCGCTCTTCTGACTTCAATCTCTCAACCTATGCTTTGCTCCTTGACCAGGCCAGCCCTCAGTTGCCTGGGCCCTGAGCTCTGAAACTCCATCCAACACCGCCACTGCTACCGCCCCACCCCACCCGCCCTTACACCTCTGCCCTCCTTTGGCCAGGCTTTTGGTCAACCAGCTCGGTTTTCCTTTCCTTTGATTCGGTCGTATTTTTGCCTGATATACGCTTCTGTAAACTACCGTGTAATTTGTACAAGATCTCAATGCAGCTTGTTGGTGTAAGCATTTGACAATCATAAGCAATGTTTTGTAGCTAGTCTCCTTGCTTTTTCTGTGGGGCTTGCAGACTCTGATTTCTTGGAGGTTCCATGGATTCTCGTTAACACCGGTATCTGTCCCCCCCCCCCCCCCCGGCTGTGTGAATTATGGCAATGTTTTCAGGACCGATGAGCACCAATCTAGTTGGGATCTCTTACCTTCTGTCTTGTTTGTGTGTGGGTTGACAGCTGAGGAGCATTGTCAGCCTAGTAGAGACTTCAGACTCCACTCCCTCAGGAGAAATCTGAGCAGGAGGCGGCTTTTGGATTCCTCCTCCTTTCTTTTTCCCCGACCACCCCAAAAAAAACTGCTCCACCATTCAGTAAGATTGTGTCTGATCTTCCAGCTCAAATCCAACATCCATTCTTGGCAATTAGCAGTCGAAAATCAATCAATTTCAGTCTTGAGCATGCTCAGTGACTGAGCTTCCACAGTTCTCTGGGAGAGAGAATTTCAAAGATACACCACCCTCAGACGTTTCTGAGTTTCTGCTTGAAAAATCCACCCCTTTATTCTGACCTGCGTCTAGATTCCTCAGCCAGGGAGGTCCTTTCTCAACATTTTCCCTCTTAAGGTCTGTGGGGAATTTTGTTTCTGTTAAGGTGATGCTGAAGTGTATCAGTTTTTGGTGTCTTACTCCAGGTTTTCTCATACTGACTTCTAGTCTTAATGTTGGATTTTCTTGATTTATAGCTTTCAGCTCTTCATTCTCTGTTTTGACTATATATTTGAAGTTTATTTAAAAAGAAAATTCTATGTAAGTTTTGAAGTGCTGGCCCTTTTTTGAGGAACATTTAAAATGACTGGTTACTAAGGTTAGATCACATGGGATCCTGGGAGAGCTAGCCAATTGGCTTGATGGTAGGAGATAGAAGGTGGTGGTAAAGGCTTGTTCAGACTGAAGCCTGTGACTTGCAGTATCCTGCAAGGATTGGTGCTAGGCCCAGTGTTGTTTGTCATGTATGTAAATGACTTGGATGGGAATATAGGAGGCACGCTAAGTAAGTTTGCAGATGACACCAAAATTGATGGCATAATGGAGAGTGAAGGTGGTTATCTAAGAGCCCAATGGGATGTTGATCAACCCGGCCACAGGGCTGAGGCATGGCAGATGGAATTTAATGCAGATAAATGCGAGGCGTTGCATTTTGGCAGGATTTACACAGTTAATGGTAGGGCCCTGGGGAGTGTTGTCAAACAGAGGCACAAGGGGTGCAAGTACATAGTTCCTTGAAAGTGGCATCACAGGTAGCCAGGGTGATGAAGTAAGTGTTTGGCATGTTTGCCTTCATCGGTCAGAACGTTGAGTACAGGAGCTGGGGCATCATCTTGAAGATGTACGAGACATTGGTGAGGCCACTTTTGGAGTACCATGTAGAATTCTGATACAGGAAGATTATTAATAATCTGGATACACAGGCTGTTACTGAGACTGGAGGGTTTGAGTTATAAGGAAAGGCTGAGACTTGTTTCAGTGGAACGTAGGCTGAGGAGGTGACCTTAGAGGTTTATAAAATCATGAGGGACATGGATAGGGTGAATAGCCAAGGTCTTTTCCCCAGAGTAAAAGTCCAGAATTAGAGGGCATATTTTAAGGTGAGGCGGGAAAGATTTAAAAGGTATTTGAGGGGCAACATTTTCACAGAGGGTGGTGTGTGTATGGAACGAGCTGCCAGAGGAAGTAATAGAGCAGATAGAATTACAACATTTAAAAGACGTTTGTACGGGTACATGGATAGGAATGGTTTAGAGGGAAACAGGCCACACGCAGGCAAGTGGGACGAGTTTAGTTTGGAAAACCTGGTCGGCATGGATGAGTTGGGCCGAAGAGTCATTCAGCAGGAAACAGACCCTATGATCATTCCGTCTCATCGAGACGGATGTGGCTGGACAGCTGAGTATTTCCAGGTTATTATGTTTTCATGGAGCTGTTTGTTACCTAGGGAAGATCAGTATGTATGTTTTGTACAGGTGAGCGCCTATATCCGCTGATCCAGGAAATGCATCCAACACTGGCTGGCAAAATTACCGGAATGCTACTGGAGATCGATAACTCGGAACTCCTGCACATGTTAGAATCACAAGACTCCCTTCGCTCCAAGGTAGGAATGTGATTTTTCTGTGTGGTGGAAGCTGGGTGAATGTTGGGGAATTTTACATTATTAATGGGCATCTCAATGTCGATTCGGTATTTCTGTGCTCAATTCTTGTCTCTGAGCAGCAGTTTGGAGTATTCTGCAATCCATCTCCAAGCACTTAATAATAAGTGGCTTCAGATTGTCCCAATAAATATTTGTAATATTCTTTTTTTTTTTTTAAGAAAGTAATTAAACTGGGCAAAAGTAAGGCAAGGAGAGATGTTAGGAAGCACTTTTACACACAAAGGGTGGGAGAGGTTTGGAACTCTCTTCCAAAAGTGCAGTGGATGCTGGATCAGTTGTTAGTTTTAAATCTGAGATAAATTTTTCGTTAAGCAAAGGTATTAAGGGGTATGAGCCAAAGGCAGGGGTATGGAATCGGGCCACAGATCAGCCATGATTTTATTAAATGTTGTAACAGGCTCAGGCAGCTGAATGGCCTATTCCTTTTCCTATGTTCCTGAACAGGCATTCTGGTTGTTCTAGGGTGATGTATGAATGTCACTTTTGAGAAAGGAATTCTTCCTTGTGGTGAAGACCAGCTGAGCTCCTGCTTTCTGTTGTACAAACTTCAGATTTGCGCGCACCATGGTGGGAGCTCAGAAATGTTGGAAGTCGCCTTATTGCAAAGGGTCCATGGTGTTCTGAGCTCTCCATCAGATTTTGTCAAGTTCCTCTGTAGATTTGCTTGTTTCCCTGTCAGCATACACTGACAGTCAGCTGTGTTCCAAAACACTGATGCCCCTTTGAGAGTCAGAAGGTGATGAGTTCAAGTCCCACTCTAGAGACTTGACTGTAAAGTCTAGACTGGCACTTCCCAGTGTGGTGCTGATGGAATGCTGTGTTATTGGAGGTGCTGTCTGTTCAAAGATAATGTGAAACAAAACGTTTTGTGCTCCGTCGGGTGGCCATACAACATCTGGACACCACGATTTCAATGCCAAGTCCTGACTAACTGTGACAATCCTGCAAAAATATTAGTTTCCCCATCTGATAAAATCTTCCAGAGACACTACCCATTTCAAACTCCACAAAAGCACTCTCCAATTGTACAGAGCCTTTCTGAAAATAAAACATCCCAAGATGCTTCACGGGAGCATTATTAATCAGTGACACTGAGCCACAAGAGGAAGTGATGAGGGGCAGATAACCACAAACTTGGACAAAAGTTTCTTAAAAAAAAAGGAAGGAGTTTTCAGAAAGAAATATTCAGGTTTGAGCCTTTGATAGCTGAAAGCATGGCTACTGATGACGGCAGCACCAAGTTCTTGAAGATTCACAGCAGACTCAAAATATTAGTCTGGTTCTCTTCACAGATGCTGCCAGAACTTTTGTTTTAGCACTGTAGTCTTGTCTTTGATTTCGGGTGGCTGAGGGCTCATATCCTACCTGAGGATTTTGATTGAGTGTACCGAGGAGGTGCTGCATTGTTAGAAATGTTATCTTACAGCTGGAATGTGAACATGAAGCCTCAATCTGTCCCCTTAGATGGACATTGAAATGGTGTGACAAGATCTTTAAAGGAGAGAATTTTTTTTCCTGGCCACTAGCTACATTTCAACAGATATTACAAAAACAGATTATCGGTCGTCATTACTGTCCTGCTTGTAGGACCTTGCAATGTGGAAATTAGTGACTACACTTCCATCAATGACAATAAATCACTTTGGGATGTCCTGGGATTGTGAAAGGAGAGTGTAGAGGCAGGTTTGTTCTTGTCATCAGCTGAGACATTGTGGCTGATATATGTTTCTATATTTCTGCAGAGACCACTAACTCATGGGTAAAATTCATTCACTTTCTTAACACATTTCTCTGAAATGGCCAAGCAAGCCACTCTGTCCGAGGGCAGTGAGGGGTGTGGGACAAATACTGGCCTTGCCAGTCACTCGCACAGAAGAATTAATGCAAGGAACAAGCAGCTGCAGATTGAAGATTCCATAGTGTTTTGGGTTCTTTCAGGTGGAGGAAGCTGTTGCTGTGCTTCAGGCTCATCAAGCTAAAGATACAGTGCCGAAGAAAGGGAGCACAGCTGCCTGAACAGGTGATGTCCACAGTTTAACACAATGGGAAAGCACGAGAGGTTTTGACTTGTGTTTGATACACTAGATAACATTGCATTGAAATTCCAGCTCCATAACAGGCGCATCCTCTTCCTTTCTCCCTATTGTTTATCAATCCTTCCCTCTGCTGCCTCCGTTCTACTCCTCTCAACCACGGCCCTAATCCCTAACCACGGCCACGCTGTAAGTCACTCTTTGGACAAAGACCTTTTCTCTGAATTCCCGATTAGACACCTCTCTCACCTTCTGGTTTTGGACTTTCTCACAATGAGGGATCATCTGTTCTGTCACTTACTGAACCTCTTCATATTAATTCTCTCTCCTACATCACCCTACAGTCTACTTTTCTGTAGAAAACTAGATCCTGTCTTTCCTGATGGGAATAATCTTTTCAGTTCTGGTATCATCCTAGTATCTTTTGGTCTTTCCTGGTGTTTCTACGCCCATGTGGAGACCAGACCTGAATTTGACTATGAAAACTGTCAGATTGTCATAAAATCCAACTGGTTCACTAATGTCCTTCAGGGAAACCTGGGGTCCTTACCCGGTCTGGGACTGTGTGACTCCTGTCCTTCCTGGTTGGATGATAAATGCAGCTTGGCATCTGCCACATCCTGAGAACAAGCCACAAGGCAAATAGCAGAAGCAGTTCAGGGGCTTAAGCAGGGGTGAAAAGACAGCTTTCTGCTTTGACTTCTATACTGTTTTCTTGCACAAGGATTGATGTGGTTGATTAATGAGTTTCCTGTTTCTTGCAGGATGGACTTGAGCAGCTACAAGAGAACTGTTTCACAAAGCAAAGATATTTGTCGCATGATTAAACCTTGGGTGGGGGACAAACTGAATAAGGATCTGATGTGGCCTGGAGATAATGTTCTCCATTCACATTCAATTGTGCGCCAAGTTTGGCCTTTGTTGTGTCCTATCCTGTATTCGGTTTGTTGTCTTGGGCTGTATTAAAGAACACTGAAACTGGATTGTAGCTGCCTCAGCCTTTGTCAAGGGAACAATAAAAGATTCAAACAAATTTGAAACGTTCAGATATTGGAGGGTTTGACTATGATGCTAGCTGATGGTGACACTGGACAAGTACGATCCCAGACTGAAACCAGCTAAGTGGTCCCAAATTTTATTTTTTTGCAGTTTGTTTACCATTTGAGGTCAGTCACAGAACATATTCCCAAGAGGCTGCTAATGTACTTTTATTTTAAAAATATTGAAGGTTTCGAACTCAAAAGGAGAAAATCAGTTTACTATATTACCCTATTCAAGGATTATTTAGAACTGACATTACAAAAATCAGAAAATAAAGATTTGACCTCAACGCCAACTCTACTGATACTGAAACCTCAGTGAAGTTCCTTGATCAGTTGCAGTTGTTGTACTTAGTTTATTTTTGGGCGCACTTCTGCATTCACATGATGCTATCATTTAGTTAATTTCTCTTCCTGAGAACTTTAAAATACTAATGTAACTCATTTATTTTAAACATGGGCTCCTTAAACTTCTCTTCCTCAGCCTTCTATTTCTGGAGTTATTCTCTAACATTAACTGACTCAGAACTACTTTTCCTTCTGCCTTTGACAGTTTTGGAAACTGCCAAACTGTACATCTGCTGTTACAGATGTTTTCTCCCTGAATGGCCTGCTTCTCTCTGATAGAAACTTACACATACTTTCTGACCTGCTTCTGTCTGTCTCTTGTCAAAGACCCCTTGCTACTAGACAGTTTTTTTTTTCCAAAACTTATTTGTGGAATTCTCTCCTTACCAATGTTGTGGTCTACCTACAGCCTTTGGACTGCAGTGGTTTAAGAAGGCAGCTCACCATCAAGGAGCAACTCAAGATGGGCAATAAATGCTGGCCAAGCCAGGTTCCATGAGTGAATTAAAAAAAAAACATTATACTGATGATGCTTAAAGCTGGAGCTGGCTGGTGTTTAGTTACTCACAAGCTCATTTCCCTTAGGCTGGTGGGTGAAATCCTTTTTGTATCAAGGTGTAACAATGGAAATATCCTGAATCTGATGCGTGTTCAGGATTGTTATTGCACAACTTGAGTGGTTGGGACTTAAACCTGGGGCTCCTGGCTCAAGGGTAGGGACAATATCACTGCCTTTCACTTTAAAATCATGCCCCATTGTTACTGACTCAACTAGGAGGAACAGCTGCTTTCTAATCAATCTGTCAATACTCCTCCCCCTTCTCTGCTCCAAAGAAAACAACCTGAGCTTATTCAGTTTCTCTTCATTGCTCTATTCCAGGCAATATCCTGGTGAAAAATGGGTCACCGGACCTGAAACATTAACTGTTTTTTCCTTCACAGATGCTGCCAGATCTGCTGAGCTTTTCCAGCAACTTCTGTTCCTGATTTACAGTATCTGCAGTTCTTTTTGTTTTTTTTTTAAAATATCTTGTTGAATCTCCTCTGCACCCCCTCCAGTGCAACTGCGTCATGGTTTGAGGAGAACACACCCTCAAAATTACAATGGACATGCGTCTTAGAATGTGTATTGAAACTTGATCCCATCACCATCCTCACACTGGGCCAAGGCCACTGAGGAACTAGTGTTTGTGCTTTTTTTTGAATGTATCTGCAGTTGTTAGTTCCATCTTCCTAGTTGTATGAGGTCAGACTCTGGTAACATTTCCATTAACAAAACAAAAACAAAGGATGCCTTTAATCATTAACTTTTAATACCTGAGTCCAAAAGATTTTCAGTGCAATACAATGTTCAAACTAAACCAATAGTACATAGTATGAGACAGCTGGAGTAATACATTAGGCCCACGATGGGATGAGACAGACAAGGTTTACAAGTCCAGGTACATCATATTTTTGTGAAAGAACAAGTTAAAGACAAGAGATGAATGATCAAAACATCTGCAAAGTGTTTTTCGTTAACGTTTGTGTATTTTACAATTCAGCAAACTTAACTTGTCATGTTTCCTCAATGCATGCCGCTTCACGTTCTGTATCCTGCTCATGGAAAAGCTGAGTTTCCCCACAACTTGCTACAGTTGCTGGAACTTTGACAATGGAAATAAACAAAGCTGTAATCAATCATTCTTCTCATTCAAAACCTACCATGGTTGTAATGATAGAGCAACATGAACTACTTTACAAAATGTTTCTGCGGCAAAGATGTTTTTAACCAGTTTACTCCCAAATTTGTCCTGTAGCAGCAGAGCTGTATGCAGATGCTTGAATGTATAATCATGTATTGGGTCTATGGGGACATTTGCCCTTTAAGCATCATTCATAAATCTATTGTTATTATAGCCATCTAACTCCATTGGCTAGAGTATCTCTGGCCATTTAAAATAAAGACTGAACACTAGCAAAATGGATAACACCAGAATTACATTCCAGTTAAGTGTCTCAGTAATTCCCACATTCTCAGGACTTGTGGACAATAATGGCACCTATAGTTGAATTTCTGATTTGAGAATTTAGGAGTAGGGATAAAAATCATTATGGGATAAAGGTGGGTAGTTAAGTTCAGTCATATTCTCAAACAGATTAGGGAACAATGACCTCTTCTTCCTACACTTAAGCAAAGATGCAGATATTTTTAGGTGCACATGCTCCCTTTAAATTCAAAGTATCATTTCTTCATTAAGAACAGTGTCAGCACAGAGTCAACTCAACAGTGCTGGGAGCAGCCATGCAAAGCATCAAGTTGAGAGGGTTTTTCAAGGAGGAAGTAGTACTGCAAAGCAAAGTGAACAACCTTGAACCAAATTAGGAGACTGCCCTCACCCTTGTTGCTCCCTGCTCCATTAGCTTTGATCCTACCTCTAAAGTGTAACCACATAAAAGATCCTTTAAACACACTGTCACACATTTTAGTGCCTGACAGCCACTTAATAAAACTAACAGGTGGTACTGATGTTACTTAGCCTCATCTGAAATAGAGTGCACAGGCTTATGGGAGAAGTGAGAATATGTGTAGGGTTAGATGCAACATCACTTCATTCTCAGTGTCAAAAATCAACAGTGAAATGTGACTGAAAAGATTAAAAGTGCAATCTTGCAAACAAAGCTACCACAAAATGGACTACCCTAAAAATATTACACAACAGCAGATTATATTGTACTCAGTTATATATTAAATAGGAGTTGTGCAATCTGCAGAGGTTAATTGAGGCAGAGGATCCTGTTGCTAAATCAATAACTAAAGAGGGATCTTGCAGTACAGGAATTGATGCTGTGTGTAGGAATCAAAGGTAAATTGAGCTGCAGATAGTTTAACTCAAATATTTTCACACAGTGTTCTTTGGTGTCAGGACAAATGACCCGTAAAGCCCTTGAAAAGCAAGAAGAAAAATGCAAAAAAGAGAGGGGTTAGAAACCTGCCCAAGCCCCCCTCACATACAGCTATATCGAATCAGGTTTCAGAGGTTTGAGTTTGAAGTGCCCACGAGGACAAGGTTTTATTTAGTAAACTTCTGGACTTCCTGTAAGAGGCGTTGGCCAGCTGAGTTGCTGGGATCCCGTTTCAGCATCTCCTGAAGATCAGTAACACTGCCAGCGTAATCCTGAAGAAATAAAAACAATATTCAGCTTGCCATCTTGACCAGCCTGGCCTCATAGCCAAACAGTGTAATGGTAAAAGTGTTGCTGCCTGTTTTTGCACAAAGATTACAGTAATGTGGATATTGTAACATACAATGGCTTCAAGAAGTATATTTTGTCCTTTTTTTTGAAAACAGGTTTTAAGGCAGAGGTACCAGGCAATAACACACAGCCACTAGAGTAAACAGTTTGTGAAGCCTTGGGATTTTAAAAAAAAATTAGAACAATAGAACCAGCCTGAATGGGTGTGCTCAAAATCCACCGAACCTGGATTTTTCATTTCAGTAGCTGTTGCTGCTGGGATCTTGAAGATGTGGAAGCTGTTTTTTCTCCCCCCTCTCTCCCAGTTACAGCTAAAAACAGGGAGTTCTCTTCCTGCTGCTGGAGTTGCATATGAGATTTTCTGAATTTGCCTTTGTTAATTGTGTGTTTGTCTGATGTTACTACATTGGAAAAATTACTGTTTCGTAGTTAAATAATTATTCTGTTACATTTTCCAATAGAGTTAAGTATTCCGATTTCTTAAAAACCGAAAGAACTGCGGATGCTGTAAATCAGGAATAAAACAGAAGTTGCTGGAAAAGCTCAACAGGTCTGGCAGCATCTGTGAAGAAAAATAAATCATTTAATGTTTCAGTTCTGTGTTCATATGCAGAAAATAGATAAGAGGAAATCCCCATTTATCCCCATTTTCTGCATATAAACCGACAGTTTCCCAGCTACCATCAGTTCTGAGGAAGGGTCACCGGACCCAAAACATTAACTCATTCTTTCTTCACAGATGTTGTTAGACCTGCTGAGCTTTTCCAGCAACTTCTGTTTTTATTCCAATTTCTTCTTTTTGTTGTATTTTAAATTATAGTATGTGAATAAAGTGTGGTTTGCTTAAGGTCAAGTAGTTTGACCAATCGAATTGCATCTGGAATGCAACAAACAACTTACACTTACATTTAAAAATAAGAAAGGTTAGGGTCTGGATTACCTTCTGAATTTATTTTCAAGGGGTTTGATCTGGTCCATAATAATATAAATTGGCATAATCCCAGACTGAATTTGAGCGAATCCATTAACAGTGCTGTTTTTGGGAATACACTTCAAAGGTGTGCTCATGTTCTTAGGTGTTGAAGAAGCTTCTCATTTCAAATAATAATTACTTAAGTAACAAGGGTTCATCAATGAAACTATTAAATGGGTCAGTATAGTTTTAGGTCATTTTCAATTATTTTAAATTGGTTTTCTCACTGGATGGTTGTACGGTCTTAAAAAACAAACATTTCTAAACTGAAGTCTATTTCAGGCAGCAAGACCCCATATTTAATAAATAAAGGCTTCAGAAGTTGGACTGTTTGAGCTAAACGAACCAATTCTTACTTTTCAAAGTGACTGTCAAAGTTGATCCTGACAAAGTTTTCACTCAGGAATCGGGATATGAATGTTTGTTGGGAGGATGGAAATTTGTAGGTTCCCCCCAACACCTGCATTAGGGTTAGGGCCACTCTGCCTAGTCTCTGAAAGGGAATGCTGTACATGGACCACAAATTAAACTGGGACAGAGATCTGGGATCTCATTACCAATCCTTCTGTCAATCAGACGACATAGATGCAAGGTAATTAATAAAAGGACCAGTGGAAAAGATGAGAAAACATTACTTTTTCTTTTACATGGCGCGTGGCTATGGCCTGAAAGGGCAGTGGTGATGATGTGGAATTCACAACTATAAGGAGTGGTTCAGACTAATAGCAAAGAAGTGTTTAAGGGAAAGGGACGCAAGGGCCAATTTGTCTGTAGATTTAATGCAAACAATTCCAACCTCACCTCTTCCAACATCAGTGATGAGCAACACTTTCTAAAGTCTCCCTTCTATTACCTGTTCTTTTAAATATTCATTAATGGGACATGCGGGCCACTCAAGACCAGAATTTAGTTCCCATCCCTAAGTGCCCTTCTGGAGGTGGTGCTGATTCACCTTCTTAAACTCTACAGTCATGGCTGTATAACCACCTACAGCGCTCTTCAGGAGGAAATTCCAGGATTTTAACTCAGCAACAGTGAAAGGACAGAGATATATTTCCAAATCAAGACGGTGTATGGCTTGGCAGGGAAATAGTAGAAGTTGCAATCAATGCCACGGACAATTGACTAGCCTTTTACTAATGTTTACAGATCCACGCTCGATGCCAGACTTTACCTACCTTCAGCTCTTTGCGAGCTAGTGCCCGCCGGTAGAATGCCTTCAGGTTGTTGGGATCCAGAGCCAATGCGGCTGTACAGTCCTGCACTGCTTCAGGATATTGTTTCAGCTGCAGGTGACACAGAGCTCTGAAAAGGTAAACAACACACACTGGGTCACTCAACAAACTACAGACCGCTTCAGAAAGACAGCCACTGCCATCTGGAACCCCAAATCCTCACACACATTTTTATTTCAGTTTTGTAAGAAAGGGAGGACTCACAGTCCAAGAAAAGAGATTAAATATTGGGCTGGAGAAAGGAAAAGAGCTTTCCAATCCATTGGTCAACCAAGAAAAATAACTAAAGGCAATGACAGGACAAGAAAAGACTGACAGACTCAGAGGGTAGTGATTCTTTGGAATTCTTTATCATAGAGGGCTGTAGAGGCTGGGTTTTAATTAGGAAGGGAGTCAAGGATTATGGGGAAAAGACAGGAAAGTGGAGTTATCAGATCAGCCATAATATCATTGAATGGCATAACAGACTTGATAGGCTGAATTACTTATTCCTGCTCCTTTGTCAGACTGTTCGTTCAGTCTATCCCACAGTACGAGGAGAGACACTCCCGAATCTACACACAGTTCTGCATTCTCTTGCGATAAACAATGACACATAAATCAGTCTTTTCTGCACAAGAGTTTCAAACTTCTCACACTCCTGATGTAGTTGAGAGCAGTTCCACAGTTCTCTGGATGAAGGTGCACTGCTTAACATGGTCCTCCTAAATCTCATTATTTGAAATAACTGGACCACATAAACACTCAATCCATTCATTATTTTATCAATCTATATTCTCTGAAGCATACAGATTCAGTTTGTTGAGCCTCTCAACGTAAACTAGGAATCATCTTGTGATTCCTATAACCATACCATTGCCAAATCTCCAAAATCAAACAGCATGTGAAGAAATCAACACTGGATACACAATTATAATAGAGGCCTCACCAACAGCACAATCCTTCGGCACAACTTATTTCTATTTGTTCACAAGATGTGAGCATTGCTGGCAATTTGTTGTTCATCCCCAGTTGTGGTGGTGAGTTGCCTTCTTCAACCACTGCAGTCCATGTGGTTCAATACATCTGTGCTACACATTCTTGGCCTCACCAACACTCTGACTGTGTTACAGTCAAAATCTTATCAAGGCTCACTTTGCCACATTCAGTCTCCCCTTCTCCACACAACATGCAGACTGGTGCTCACCAGTACCTTCCCAAAGGGTACAGAACAAGTGCTGGACTTGGCAGCAATACTCACATTCCGTGAATGAATAAATAAAGAAAATGCACAGATTATCAGAATTGAGACACATGCACTTAGTGGTTACTTTACTAGTCTCCGAATCTAGACCAGACCATGTTGCTTGTGTACCTGTTGGTATAGGTGGTACATTCCTTGTTATCCAGCTTCAGACTCGCACTGTATTTATCCACTGCTTTTCTGTGCTCGCCTTTTCTCACCAACTCATTCCCTTCTTCCTTAAGAGACTTGGCCTGCTCGGATTTGCTGGAACCTGACAACACAATGGTAAGTGCAGGGTATTGAAATAAAACATTAGGATCCCAGTGCTTGCTCTTAATTGTCTTACTTTGCAATGGGAGTTTTCAAATTGCTCCACTCCTGGTTGACGAACGCAGAAAGAGTTGATGGATCAAGTGTTAACTTCAAAACTGAATTATTTTAAGTACGAAAGGATTTTGCTCACTCCTTGTTAATCCTCCCTAAAACCTTTAATTCCCCCCTTTAGGTGCAACACAAATGCACCCAGAGTGTGATCTTGTGTATATCAGAACAGGAGCTCAGAAAACTGGGCAGATAAGAGATTGGGGTGTGCACCTGTTGGCTCAGCCTCAGAAATTGGATGCTTGAGGTCCATAGGTGAAAGGTCAGTTTGAGTTCACCAATCCCCAACTCCTTCACTCGTTTATCAGATTGGGAAAGGGAGGATGAAAAAGGAATGCATGTCTGCCTTCGGTAACTGATTTCTGACACCAGACCCTTTTCATTGGTGGTTTGGATTTGGTATCAGTCAAGAGTGTACCCATAAGCCTCTTGGTGTGACAGGGATTTGTTTAATCATTAACATTGTGGGGGTGGGGAGCTGAGAAAGAGTGGGACAGTGGAAATAAGAGCTGATCTTCTCACCTGTGTCTCCTGCATTCTGTGGCATGCAGGTTTGCTCGGTGTTCCCAGGTGCACTGGGTCCCCATCTATGCTGAGCTGAGAGGGGCACCGATGGCATTGGAGGGAGTTTCTCACGCCAATTACTACCATTCTTGTCAATCAGAACTTTTCTCATTCTGCAACAGTAGGAAGAAAACAAATTAAATCAAATAGCTCAAAGTACCAGAGTTATTTGTTATTTGTTATTTATTTCCCCCTCTCACCTTGAACCTGTGCCCCCTTGTAATTGAAATTTCAACCTGGGAAAAAGCCTCTGACTATCCACCCTATTTGTGCCTCGCATTATTTTGTAGACCTCTATCAGGTCTCCTCTCAGCCGCCATCTTTCCAGTGAAAACAATCCTAGTCTTTTTAACCTTTCCTCATAGCCAATGCCCTCGAGACCAGGCAACATCCTGGTGAACCTTCTCTGCGCTCTCTCCAAAGCTTCTATGTCCTTCTGTAGTGTGATGATCAAAACTGCACACAATACTCCAAATGTAGCCTAACAAGGGTTTAATATCGCTGCAAAATGGTTTGCCAACTCTTGTATCCCATGCCCCGGCCAATGAGGGCAAGCATGCCATATGCCTTCTTAATCACTTTGGCCAGCTGTGTTACCACTTTTAGGGAACTGTGGACCTGCACGCCCAGATCTGTCTGAATGTTAATACTTCTAACGGTTCTGCCATTTACACTATAATTCACACCTAAATTTGATCCTCCAAAATGCATCACCTTGCATTTGTCTGGATTAAACTCCATCTGCCATGCTGTGCCCAAGTTGCCAGTCTATCTTTATCCTGTTCTTTCCTTTCACAATCGTCAGCACTATCAGCAACTCCATCAATCTTCGTGTCATCTGCAAACTTACTAATCAGACCACCCACATTTTCTTCCAGATCACTTATATATACACAACAGAGGACCTAAGACTTTTGGAACCCACTAGTTACTGGTCTCTATTCTGAAAAACACTCTTCCACTGCTACCCTCTGTGTTCTACAGGTAGTTCTGCTATAACTCGTGTTTGGTTAACGCAAATTGGCTGTAACGCGATTGATGAATAGTGAACGCTGTTTGGATAATGCGAACTTTCTGCTGTACAGGTATAGCGATTTCTGTAGTGATTTCCCTATAACGCGATTTTCTATAGCGTGAGGTCACACAAGAATGCAACTATTGCGTTATGGGAGAACTACCTGTGTGACCAGGCCAGTTTTGTATCCATCTAGCCAGCCCACCCCGAATCCCATGTGATTTTAGTTTTTGTACCAATCTGCCATGTGGACTTTATCAAATGCCTTACTGAAGTCTTTGTAAACTACATCCACAGCCCTTCCCTCATCAATTATCTTTGTCACCTCTTTAAAAAATTCAATCAGGTTGGTAAAACATGTCGTCCCCCGGACAAAACCATGCTGCCTGACACTAACCAGTCCATTTTCTTCCAAATGTGCATATATCCAGTCCCTCAGTACCTTCTCCAAGAGCTTCCCTACCAGAGACATCAGGCTCACCAGCCTATAATTTCCTGGATTATCCCCAATTCCTTTCTTAAACAAGGGAAGAACAGTGGCTAATCTCCAGTCCTCTGGAACCTCACCTACGGTAAAAGAGGATGTTAAGATATCTGCTAATGCCCCAGCGATTTCTTCCCTTGCCTTTCGCACTAACCTGGGATAGATCCCATCTGGCCCTGGGGACTTGTCTACCTTAATGCAATTTAGGATACCCAAAACTTCCTCCTTCAATATACTGACATTCTCTAGAGTATTCACACACTCATCCCTGACCTCAACATTAGCCATGTCCTTCTTCTTGGTGAATACCAATATAAAGTGCTTATTAAGGATCTCTCCCACTTTCTGTGGCTCCGTGCATAACTTCCCTCCTTTGTCCTTGAGTGGGCCTACTCTTTCCCTCACTACCCTCTTTCTTCTAATATATGCATAAAAAGCCTTGGGATTCTCCTTGACCCTGTTCACTAAATATATTTCGTGGCCCCTTTTAGCCTTCCTAATTCCACATTTAAGTTTCTTCCTGATTTCTCTATACTGCTCAAGGGCATCGTCAGTTTGTAGCTGCCCAGACCTATTGAATGTTTCTTTTTTTCCTTTTGACTAAGATTACAATTTCCCTGGTCATCCATGGTTCCTGAATCCTGCCACTCCTATCCTTCAGTTTTGCAGGGACACGCATGTCCTGCACTTCAATCAACTTTAAAAGCCTCCTACATGCCAGATGTAGACTTGCCCTCAAATAACTGCTCCCAATCCACATTCCCCAGTTCCTGTCTAATTTGGATGTAACTGGCCCTTGCCCAATTAAGCACTCTCACCCAAAGGCCACTCAGGTAGGAATTAATGGATTGAATGGCCTGCTTCCACACTAGGGATTCTATGAAGAATATTGGGACGGCACGGTGGCTCAGTGGTTAGCACTGCTGCCTCTCAGTGCCAGGGACCAGGGTTCGATTCCACCCTCAGGTGTCTGGAGTTTGCACATTCTCCCCATGTCCGTGTGGGTTTACTCTGGGTGCTCCGGTTTCCTCCCACAGTCCAAAGATGTGCAGGTTAGGTGGATTACCATGGTAAATTGCCTGTAGTGTCCAGGGATGTGCTGGCTAGGTGGATTAGCCATGGGAAATGCAGGGTTACAGGGATAGGGTAGTGGAGGCGTGTCTGGATGGGATGCTGTTCAGAACACTGGTGTGGACTCGTTAGGCCGAATGGTCTGCTTCCACACTGTACGGATTCTACAAAATATTGGCATCCATGTCCCTGCTCCCAGCACCTTATGTTGGAGATCACCTTTGATCACTATTACCTGTTCATACCATCCTGAGCAGCCTGGACACTGCTATCCACCTGCACTGCAGTTTTATAGTCTACGTATGCCCGTGGGTATTGCTCCAGCGTCTCATAGGCAGCAGCACGTCGCAGGAGGGGCTTCAGCATGAAGGGCACAAGCTCTAATGACCTAGAGAGAGAGAGATGGAGAAGCAGAGGACATGGTTAACAACTGGATCTACAGTAAATGCACCGAGATGGTACAAATGCACATTCAGGAGAATGGATAAGAGATAAAAATTTCCATCCACTTTTCCATTCCTGGTTAGGTTTTCCTGTGACATAGCCCAGTAGCAGATCTATAGATGCACTGAGCTGGGAATAAAAGATTATCAGAGATGCACAGGAACGTGGAGTTGAGGTTAAAATCAGCCACGATCTTACCGAATCTTGGAACCAGCTCAAAGGGCCAAGTGGCCTACTCTTATTCCTTGTTCACATGAGTTTATATGTTGCAGTAAGGCAGTGATAAGACCACAGCTGAAACAACTGTTACTAGAGTAGTACAGTTGGACAATGGAAGTTCAGGAATTTAGTCACTTTGCAGTCTCTTCCATCTTGAGCAAAAGAAACATAATTTCTTTAAACTTTTCTGACAACCTGTACACTTCAATTGAAGTCACCACAGATGATGCTTCAAGTCTTTTTACAACCTTTGGTCTGTACATCCTTGCTTACTATGATCTGCTTGTAATCAAAGCTGGATGTTTAAGAAACCAGAATTAGAGAAATGCAGATAACTTGGAAAGCATAGGGCTGCAGGAAGTCACGGAGATATGGAACGGTGAAGCTATGGAAGCATTTTAAAACAAGGATAAAAATCTTAAATTCAATATGTTGCTTAACCAGGAGCCAGTGCAGATCAGTGAGCACTGGTTTGAAGGGGAAACAGTGATGATGCAGGCAACAGAGTTTTGGATAACCTCAAGTTTGCAGAGTTGAACGTGGGAGATCAGCTGGGGAGGCATTGGAAGAATCAAGCCTAGAAATAGTAAAGCTATGAATGTGGCAAATCCCAACCAAACTCCTATCATGTCAAGGCATTGGCTCAGATACATACACAGTGCAATCTTTTATACATTCGCTGCAGTTTCCAATCTTCAGATTACAAGCAGCTCGATTCGAATACAGTACACTCAAATCCTCTGGGCATTTTGTACCTGGTTAATCAGAGAAGCAAAAGGCATATTCTTACAATTAATACACCATGCAAAGTCTGTTAGAACATCTTATATAACTGGAAAGATCAATTGTAGAACTATGGAAATGGGGTATTTACACAGCAGCTGTGAACAGACTTGAGAGTTTCATTATTTCTTCAAGCACCAAGTTACAAGGAAGAACTCTTATTTACATAGTGCCCTTCATGACCTCAGGATGTCCCCACATGCATTCACAGCCAATTAACTAGTTGTGTAGTTTAGCTATTATTGCAACTAAGAATGCAGAATGCCAATTTCACACGCAGCTAGTTCCCACAAATGGCAAAGTTATGATAACCAGATAACCTGGTTTAATGAGTCAACACAATGTGGAGCTGGAGGAACACAGCAAGTCAGGCAGCATCAGACCTTCAGGAGGGTCCCGACCCAAAACGTTGACTTTCCTGCCTCTCTGATGCTGCCTGATCTGCTGTGTTCCTCCAGCTCTACACTGTTGACTCTGACTCCAGCATGCCAGTTCTTGCTATCTCTAACCTGGTTTAATGATGTTGATTGAGGGATAACTATTGATCAGGACACTGCTATTTTTTTGGATCGTTTACATCTGAGAAGGTAGGCAGGGCCTCAGTTTAACACCTCAGACAAAAGACAGTGCAACACTCACTCAGTACTGCACTGGAGTCTGGATTGGGACTTGAATCCATAACTTTCTGTCTCAGATAGCTAGCTAAGGGGGACCAGAGGATTGGCAGGTTTGTGAAGAAGGCACATCAATCAACAGCTGCAGGAGAAGATGAAATTTGGGATGGGAGTTTGGGGAACTAACTGGGGTTGAGAGACAATTGGATGTCCATTAGCATCCTTGTTTATTTAGGAAGAAAAAATTCAATCTTTGTTCTTGCAATTCAGGATGTAATTTTGCACCTGCAGAATGAATGACCCATTTGCGACTTCAATCAAGTGGCTAGGTATAGTTCTAAAAGACACGGCTGCAAGGTGACCTCAAAAATATTTAAAATTCTGTAAAATTATAGGCAAAAAAGATCTTGCCTAATTCCAGCTCTTGTTTGTAGCTCTGCTAGTATTTTTGCAACAGAATACTTTTGAAGGCTTCTGCCTCTGTCTCTCTTTTGAAATATTTTCTAATTCATCTGTTCAGAGAAGTTATTACACACCTCTGGAGCAAGTGGGATTTAAACTCTGGTCTCTCAGCTCAGAAGCAGGGGCACTGCCACAAAAGCTCCCCTCTGGCTTTTTTGCGATCAGCAAGTTCCAGATCCCCATCACCTGCTCGGTGAAAATATTACTAACTCCCCTTTAAGTCCTGTACTAATTACTTTTAACTTATGCCTCCTATTCCTCCTCTTCCAGTCTACTCCATCCATGCATCCCAACTACAACTCCCTTCAGCCTACCCTGTTCCAAAGAATATCAACCCCACAATGTCCAATATTTCCTCATGGCTAAACTAACATATTTCCACTTGAGGGAAAATTCCAGAGTCAGGGCTTTTGAATCCAAGACAATAAATACTGTCAGGGATTCAGTAGAAATCTCTTTACCCAGAGAGTGGTGAGAATGTTGAACGTATCACCACAAGGAGTGATTGGGATGAATAACATAAATTAACTGAAGAGGGAAGCTGGATAAACACAAGGGAGAAAGAAATAAGAGCATTTGGCGATGGGGTGAGACAAAGAGGCAGTGGGAGCTTATGTGAAGGTTAGTCACAGGCATCACCCAATCAGGCTGAATGGCCTGTGTCAGTGCTATAGACATGATATAGTGTACTAGCTTCTGATGTTGCAACCAACTAATTCTACCTGGCTGGTATGACACATGTGCGATTGTAAGGTTCTCTCCAAGATACTTATCCAAAAGTACCTTGCATAGGTCAACATAGGGAGAGAAAAAAACTGAAGGCAATTAAGGGCAAACTGTTGATGGTTGAGGTCAGATGGAGAGCAAATAGGAGAGATTGGTACAGTGGATGACAAGAAAAAGTAGGCGGATGACAAGAAAAAGTAAACAGAAGTAAATAGCCCACAATACTTAAAAGAATGGTAGGGGGATTCTCCCTGGTATTCCAATGTCACAATTTATCCCCCAAACAACACCTCAGATTATCTAGATTATCTGTACCTTTTCATCATTACTGATTGTGGGATCTTGCTGTGTGCATTTTCTACATGAAACATTTAACTACAATTCCAAAAGAATGTACATCATGGACTATGACAGATTGTAAAGACGCAACACTTTCCTGTCACTAAACATTTTATCTCCCCCTCCCCCTGCCCCTGCCACTCCATGTCCATCCTGGGCCGCCTCCAGTGTCACAATGATGCCACCTGCAAACTGGAGGAGCAGCACCTCATATTCTGCCTCAGGAACCTACAGCCCAATGGCCTAAATGTGGATTTTACCAGTTTCAAAATGTCCCCACCCCCGGCCTCATCCCATGACCAACCCTCCCTCTCATTCCCATCTCCTTGACCTGACACAACCTGTCCATCTTCTCTCCCACCTATCCCACTGACCAATCCCCACCACTCCCTACCTGCACTCACCTATCACCATCCCACCTACCTTCCCCAGCCCCACCCCTCCTCTCTATTTATTTCCGAGCTCCCCTCCCCCTCCCCATTTCTAAAGAGGGGTCCCAACCCAAAACGTCAGCTTTCCTGTTCCTCCGATGCTGCCTGGCCTGCTGTGTTCCTCCAGCTCCACGTCTTGTTATCACAAAAATGGAATTATTTCTTTAGCTTATTGGGAAGTGCACATAGAAATTAATTGAGGGTGGGACCAGGTCTGGTAAATTACAACCAGCCAGCATTTGCCTCTGAAAACCTGAGGTAGAGCAAACACACTGGGGGTGAGAGAGAGAGTCGGTGCGCGTGTGTGGTAGTGTATAGGCAAGGTGCAGCTGTGGAATGAACCCAAATCTTGGATACAAAACTGGCTTGGCCATTGAAGGTAGTTGTGGAGGGGTGTTTTTCTGACTGGAGATCTGTGACTAATGGTGTTCCGCAAGGATCAGTGCTGGGACCTCTGCTGTTCATAATACATAAAAAATCTGAATGGAAATGTAGGTGGTCTGATTAGTAAATTTGCAAATCATGAAAACTGGTGTGGAGTTGTGGATACTGAGGAAGGTTATTAAAGAATGCAGCAAGATATAGATCAGCAGAAAAGTTGGGCAGAGAAACGGCAGATCGAGTTTCATCCAGACAAGTGTGAGGTGATGCATTTGGGAGGTCAAATGCAAGAGAAAAGTATACAGTAAGTGGCCAGACCGTTAGGAACACGGAGACAGAGGGATCTTGGGGTGCAAGTCCATAGGTCTCAGAGTGGCAACATAAATGGATAAGGTGGTAAAGAAGGCATATGGCATACTTGCTTTCATGGGTCAGGGCATTGAGTATAAAAGTTGGCAAGTCACGTTGCAATGGTATAAGACTTTGATCAGACCATATTTGGAGCACTATGCTCAGTTCTGGTTGCCACACTATAAGAATCACGTGGAGCTTTGGAGAGGGTGCAGAAGAGGTTTACCAGGGTTTTGCCTGGATTGGACTGTATTAGCTATAAGGAGAGGTTGGACAAACTTGGATTGTTTTTTAATAGCACTTCAGAAGCTGAGGGGGCAAACTGATAGAACTATTTAAAACTATGAAAGGCATGTACAGAGTGGATAATCAGGGTCTCTTTCCCAGGGTGGAAATGTCAAATATTAGGGGCTATAGGTTTAAGGTGAGAGGGGGAAATTCAAAGGAGATGTGAAAGGATTTTGTTTTCTTTACAAAGAATAGTAAGTGCTTGGAACGCGCTGCCAGGGGAGGCATCATAGAGTCCTACAGCACAGAGACAGGCCCTTCAGCCCAAACCGGTCCACGCTGACCAAAACGTACATCCACGCTAACCCCAATTCCCTGCACTTGGCCCATATCCTTCTAAACCTTTCTTATCCATGTATTTGTCCAAATGCCTTTTAAATGTTGTTAATGTACCCACTTCAACCACTTCCACTGGCAGCTTATTCCATACCACCCTCAGGTTCCCATGCATTCTTTCCCCTCTTACCTTAAACTGATGCCCTCTAGTCCTCAGTTCCCCAACCCTGGGAAAAAGACTGAGTGCATTCACTCTATCCATGCCTCTCATGATCTTATATGTTTCTGTAAGATTCCCCCAACCGCCCTCAGTCTCCTATGCTCTAAAGAAAAAAGTCCTAGCTTGTCCAACCTCTCCCTATAACTCAGATCCTTGAGTCCTGGCAACATCCTTGTAAAGGATGCACTCTTTCCAGTTTAATAGTATCCTTCCTATAGCAAGGTGACCAAAACTGAACACAATACTCCAAGTGCAGCCTCACCAACATCCTGTACAACTGCAACATAACTTCCCAACTTCTTTACTGAACTATACTCTGACTGATGAAGGCCAGTGTGCAAAAGCCTTCTTCACTGCCCTGTCTATTTGTGACTCCATTTTCAGAGGACTGTGCACCTGAACTCCAAGGTCCCTCTGTTCCATTACACTTCTTCAGGCCCTACCATTCACCATGAAATTCCTACCTTGATTTGACTTTCCAAAATGCAACACCTCACACTTATCTATATTAAACTCCAATTGCCATTTCTCGGCCCAGTTCACCAGCTGGTCAAGGTGGTAGAAGCAGATACAATAGCAAAGTTTAAGAGGCATTTAGACAGACGCATGGACAGGTGGGGAATAGAGGAATATGGACCATTTGCAGGCAGATGGGATTAGTTTAAAATAGCATCATAGTTGGCACAGACATGATGGGTCAAAAGGCCTGTTCCTGTGCTGTACTGTTCTATGTTCAATGTTCAAACAGGAGAATAAGCTCAGAAGCCAAACCAAGAGTGTAACCAAAGTTGAACTGCACCCTCACAGAGCTTTCACAATCATGATGGGCTATATAACCTTTGTTTAGAAGATTCTATGATTCTGAGATGTGGCCATTCACT